AGCTTCATCAGTTCAGAACTGATGAAGCTTCTTGGACGAGAATCAAAACATTTTCCTCATCTTCCTCTCAAGAAACAAACAATCCAGTTGCCTTTTGAAGAAAAAAGCACCATTGCGGAGTATTGAGCATTCAAGGAAAGCCCGGAGTAATGAATCAGCTAAAGATTAAGGAGGTTATGCTATATATTTTATATGCCTTACTTCTGGCAGAAACACTCTACTGGGTGGGGCTGCAGTAGGACTTTTACTAGCTCCAGTGGGTGCTAAGATTTTATAAACAAAACCACCAAGAACATGCCTGAGTGTACGTATTCATTCGTTCATTCAGTAAATGGTGCTTTCTGAAGGTTGCTCTATGTTAAATGCAGGAAGCGTTCAGAAATTTTATTCTCAAATCCCCGTAGAATTGTGAGCTGCCTCTTGCTGACTAGCTTGCAGGCCATGAATTATTCTTGATGGCTTTTATAGTTCTTTCTCAACTGTGATTTCTGCCCAAGATTTCAGGAATAGATAAAATAGGCTGGTAGTCTTTGCAAGCCATGTTGTTTATTATCAGTTGTACGGAATTAATGTTAAAGTAACTCATATGTTGTGACAACAAATTAATCTGGCTATTCACAATACACAATATCATTTTATATTCCAACCCAGAGAAAAATGTCTGGGGAAAATGATATTTGATTTATAAATACCAAAGAGCTTTACAGACCAAACAAATGTATAGTTTAAAGTAAACCAAGTAACACAAAGAACATAATCAGATCCCAGAGAGGAAATAAATATTAATTTCATAGGGGAAATGCAGCCTGTGCAACTTAGATGTCATTTTTATACATTAACGATATATTGAAGGATCAGTATTTGCATACCAAGTAGAATATAATGATGTTCTTCAAGCTTAAAGTCTTAAATAATAATAGCTTGTAATCTCTTCTAACATGCTTTTCTTGATTACAACGGCCACAATTCAGCAAAGTTAAGCACTTTTAATTCCCATTTATTTTAATTCCCACTAAGCACATATATCTTTTCCAATGAAGTTAGTGGGGTTGAAAATGGTTAATTTTGACTGAATAGGTTATGCCCTGAGTATTTTTTTTTTCCTAATCTCCATGGCTCTATGTATTCATAATAGTTCTATTTAAAATGTAGAATGCAAGATTATCACTTTATGTATTAATTTATAAAAAAATGATCATAATACAAATCCTAATATAAATATCTTGGACTCCTACTGGACAATCGCTTAAATATGGCTGCCAAAAAAGACAACACAGCTGCATTAACAGAGGGATAGAATCAAGATTATGTGAAATGTTAGTACCATTTTATAAAGCCTTGATAAGACCACACTTGGGATATTGCATCCAGTTTTGGTCACCATGATATAAAAAAGATGTTGAGACTCTAGAAAGAATACAGAGAAGAACAACAAAGATGATTAGAGGACTAGAAGCTAAAACATATGAAGAATGGTTGCAGGAATTGGGCATGTCTAATTTAATGAAAAGAAGGACTAGGGGGTGACATGTTAGCAATGTTCCAATATCTAAGGGACTGCTACAAAGAAGAGGAGTCAACCTATTTTCCAAACACCTGAAGGCATGAGAAGAAGCAATGGATGAAAAGTAATCAAGGAGCGAAGCAACCTAGAACTAAGGAGAAGTTTCCTGACAATGAGAACAATAAACCAGTGGAACAGCTTGCCTTCAGAAGTTGTGGGTGCCCAATCACTGGAGGTTTTAAAGAAGAGATTGGACAGCCATTTGTTCAGAATGGTATAGGGTCTATGGCCTGAGTAGAGGGTTGGACTAGAAGACCTTCAAGGCAGGGGCGAAATTCAGCCAGTTCTTACTGGATCCTGCGATTCGGTAGGGCCAACTGTGCATAGCCCCACCCTCCTGCGCGGATGTCATGACGTCCCTTTTTTGTGATGATTTTCAGCCTCTGCGCATGCACAGGCTTTGCGCATGCACGGACGATGGCGCGAGTGAGCAAAGTGAGCACATATGCGGCATGTGCACATTTGCAAACTGGTAGGAAAGATAAGTGAATTTCATCCCTGCTTCAAGGTCCCTTCCAACTCTGTTATTCTATTCTGTTACTCTGTTAAAACTCCTGTTGGCTCAGAAAAGAAGACTATACAATAAAATAGAACATAAAATAAATATGAAGCAAACAAACCCCTCATGTGTTCTTCTATATAATTGCTACTTAGTTGGAAAGAATTCTGAGGTTAAGACTTCTAAGCAATACTATGTAGTTAATGAGGACATAAAACATTATTAGGGAAGGAGGTGGAAACCTTATCATCTACAACCCCAAGAGGTCCACTTTAAGCTTAAGAGAAAGAATTCTGTCACCTTGAAATTTTGCCTTAATAGTTCCCTGGTTAAAAAGTCTATAGGCACAACAAAACTTTACATATTTAGTAACTGAATCTCAAATGGCAGTAACTGGTCAGGAAAAATGGAAACATGGCAACTGGTTCAATTAAAGTGTGGCTCCTGGGTCAATGGTGGAGACTCTGTTTAATAATTTTATTTTATTTCTATTTGTTTCATATTGACAAAATATTGCTATGTTTAAAAAAATAAATTGTAAACGAATTCAAAATATGTTAAGGGAAAGTATATAAACAGTTTAAATTGTTAATTAGGTGAATTCTATATTTAGAAGTGAAATGTACAAAATAGCAATCCCCTAAAGTTGTTGCAAGATTGTGCACTGTGCAGGGTTCTAAGCACCACATCGTGAAAAGGAGATGGGAGAGCTGAAAAATTTGCAGAACAGGACAAGGAAAATGATTCAGAGGCTAAAGCCCAGTAAAAAAAATACTGAGCAATTGGGGCTTATCTTGGAACCAAGGAAGATAGATAGAGAGTTTACATCAAGTGTAAAATCAGGTTAAGATTAAGAAAGTGTGGACAGGTATGTGTTTTTATCTGTGTCTCACCAAGGAGAACTTGGGTTCATCTATTCCATTATACATGGGGAAATTTAGGGACTAGTACAAAGAAATATTGTATCCCTTATGAATAAACTTTTTACATTGTATAATTATGACAATGACTCCTAATTTAGAAGTGGCCAAATTCAGGGAAGACTGGGCTACCGGTTGCAACTGGTCTCAGTGGCTGTTTGCTAATTTTGAATGCCACTTGTTATCGAGAAATAATGGAGGAGGCATTGTTTGTGAACTTCCTGAACTTTCCCGGACCTAGTGGCCAAAGCGTGCGGCAAAATGTGCGCCCACATGTGCGAATGCATGTGCGTGCACCTGAACCCCCAAAATGCAATGCGTGTGGGCCCCCCTTGTACGTGCCCCATCCCCCATGCACACGCACGCCCCCGCATGTGGCCCCCAGCACATGCACATGTGGCCCCCACACGCGCACATGCCTGCTCTCTGCACATGCACACATGGCCCCCTGCACGCACCCCACCCCCACACATGTGCACACACCCCTGCAGTGCCCTGCCTCTGCGCATGCATGGCAGAGACCTAATGACCAGCTGGCCGGTGGGAGGCGCACACACATGTGCAGCAGAGCTGAACTGGGGCGATGGCTCATGTCCCACAGAATGGGCACTGCGTCCACCTATGGCACGTGTGCCATAGGTTCGCCATCACAGGTTTAGGGGATGTCAGTGTTCTTCTGTTTATAAATGGTTCAGGTGTGGGTGTGTCAACAGAAGGTCTTGTGACACCTGACCCATCACAAGACCCTCACTTGACACACCCACACCTGAAGCCCTTATAAACAGAAGAATACTGATACTGACATCCCCTAAACTCTGTTGAAGATGTTACGTAGCCTGGTAATGAAATGTTCAGAAACCAACCCACAAGCTCAGAGATTGAACCTCTCACTGATGATGTTATCTAGTAATAAAACATCTGCAAGAATACGACCAAGCTCAGAGAGCACCAAGGACTCTTTGTTTCAACTCTGAACTACAAACACTCTCCTTTATTAGTTTGAACAGTCTTCCATTTTTTTAAACAACAACAATAACAAAAAAGACACAGAACAATCTTCTTTAGAAGACTTTATCTAATTGTTCTGTTTTCTCTTAAAATCCCTATTGTGCCAACATGATGGATTTTTTTTTTTTGCCCTTACCAACCTTAGAAAAAGACATTTTTCTCTTAATATGCATATTGTTAGCACATTTTGATCCAAGTTCCTTTGCACTCTGGAAATGGAAGGAGCAGAGACCATGATTATTATACAGTCTTCCCAGATGCTGCTGTATTTCTCTGGTTTTAAATCAAGTGAGTGAAAATGGAATTTCAGCATTTGCAGCTTTTCAGTATTGGCAAGTCTGCTTATGCTCTATAGGCTTGAACTCAATTTGCTGGCAAGCCCTTTGTTTCAGGCTGAACAATTAAGATTTAATTGGATCAGTTAAGCTAGCTATAAAACCAACTTTTCTGAGCCTGTAAAGGCAGAAGTAAATTGACAAAAAAAAGTCTGATATAGACATATGAATGCAACCCAGATGACTGAATTCAGACATAACACTAAAGCATCATTAAGCTTCTAATCTTTTCCTTGTGGGCTTGTTGGAAAGAGAAGGGTGAGGGTGGTATATTTGACACTAAACCATAGTTTAGCATTGCAGATGAACTGAATCAAGGTAAAGAATGTATGTATAATCCCTGTAATGTTGATCCTTTTTTCAAAAGGAAAAACAGTTGCAGGGATTAGGCAAATGGGCATTCTCTTCACATCATATGTTACAACATTTTTGTTGTATGTCTATATGTATAAGGTTTCCATCCAGAGATGACAGGAATCAATTAGATAAAAAATTATTCAACAGCTTAGAGAAAATTGGGACATTATACTATTAATTTAAAATTACTGTAATGTAGAAAGTGTTTTGGGACACTCACGATTAATGCTGGTTTTGGTTTAGACACCATGAACCATCTGTTAGGCAACAGGCGTTCAAAGGTTAAACAATCACGGGTACATATAGAGAACAACCAATGTAGATCTCAATCATGTTTTTAATTTCCATTTATTTTTACTCAATTATAATGCAAGAAAAATAAAAGATGTAGGCAATTTTAATCTCATAGCATTGGTATCACGAACCATATCAGGTAAAGATGTGGAAGAAGAATCAACTGAATAAACAAAGCTGCATTTCAGTAATAACTACATGTTTTGTGTTCAGAAGTCTAATCCCAATTTCAAAGCACTTTTTCAGGTAAGATCAAAAGTACTCGAATCCTCAGAAACCCTCTGACACCAAACTGATACAGTTAAGCAAATGGAGATTTTTCTTTTAATAAAAAAAGATGTTTATTTCTCATCTATGCATTTTTTATTTATAGGACATATACTGTATAAAACCAACTTTTCAAGGTATTTTATAACTGACCAAAATAGTACAGTATCGAAATTTTAAAAAATGACAGTAAGCAAAACTATATTTAGTGTGGATGCAAATGCAAAGCATGATGAAAATGACAACCCAAAACCAACCTTATCAAATATAAAATGGACTAAAAACAGCCAATGAAAAACAAAAATTAAAACCAGCAATATGTAAGACTGATTAATATAGGTTAAACTGGTCATACTCCCAGGGAATGGCCAACCTTTCAGATACCATTCTCTGGGCTGCAGAGAGTAGACGAAAGTCAATATCACAGAAGATGTGGTAGAGAGAGTTTGAACCTCGTGTGATTTTTTTTATACAGCACAATTAATTTACAAAGTAATGCACAGTTCATCATTGTGGTGATTTCTCTTGGAGTATCTTAAATATATAGATATCCAGAATGAGTACTCATATACATTCTGAACACAGTACATCCATTCTTTAAAACAGTCTCCAAACTAGTCTCATGTTTTATGAAAACCTGTGTTCCTTATGACAAACACAATAGTTATTCCCATGGAAGGTCATTATAAAGATTTATTGAATACCTAGAGTTAGCCTCAGATATGTATGAAGTGTCACCAAAATTAGAAAGATACTTGTATAATGTATCATTTAGTGAAAACTTATTTGAAAAGCAAATGGCAGTCCATTATTATTTTTTAATAATTTTTAATTTTTTATCTACATTTGTGATTTAAAAATATATTTTGAATTTGAAAATTAAAAAATGAAATATTAAATATTTAATTGTTTTATACAAACAACACTATCTACAATATTTACCTCTGCAAATACTTTTGCAGCTTTTTGATCGATTCTATTTCATAGCATAAAAATTGCTAAGATAGTAGATTCTCTCCTACTCTAGAAAAAGCCTAGAAGAGATTAGTACCAGCTCATAACAAATAATCTTATTATGTTATGAGAATTGGTCAAAATACTATAACAGTTGATAATTTTTTGATAACTGAAAACATACTTATATATTTTTGTGACCTTTTGTTTGGTTCTAATAAAGGCATTGTCTAATGGTTGGTAGGTATGTAACAGGCTGGCAGACCGACAGACAGATAGAAATCCATTTAGGATTTCAGAAAAGGTCATATTAGTTTTTAAAGATAAATGAAACCAAATACTTTAGCCAGAAGTCATGATTTTATACAAGAAGTGTGCCTTGTTTCAGATACGAAAATATAATGGACATCATCCTGCTAATTTTTGCAACAATCTCAAATGCAGATTACCCAGTAGCAACAAGCTACCTGACAAATGTAAATACCATGGAAAGCAAGAAAGTGCATCGCTAAGTCTGAATTAAATGCCAGATACCAGGTGATAATTTAGTTGCAAAAATGTTACACAACGGTATTTGCAACTTCCATCAATTAGCACATGCCCAAAGTGATATTATTGAGCTATGCTAATTATTAACCAGCACTGAGCAGACAGTACCTACTTTACATTTCTTTAATTAATTCCCTTTCCTCATCTAGCCATTAGTTGCAGGGATCCTCATATAGCTTCTTCATTCTTTTTCTGAAACAAAAGCCCTGTAAAGTCATAACTATTCAAGAATATAGGCATTCTTAAATGAGAGGGCCAAGAATTGGCCAACTCTTCCTTTCTATTGTGTGGCAACTATGCAGTTGTGGTTCTAGGTATGAATCGTTTCTGACATAGTGACAGTTTTTCAATTGAATCTGCACCTACATTGTCATTTCCTCCTGGTCTTAACACTACTGTAATTCAATGTTTTGTGGGGTTGCAAGAAAATCATTCTAAAACAATAGCTTACACAAAGTACAGTCTTTGGTTAATTGCTGCTGCCATCCAAATGCCATAAATCAGCTTCATCTCCCAGTCTGTTTCTAGGTACAGTTCAAAGTGCTGGTATTAAATTGAACAGTTTCAAAAAATAAAGCTCAGATTCTGGAAATCTGTAGTCTCTTCCCAGACTTTCAACCTTTTGACATGTTAAAATACCCATATTCTTGAATGTTTTTAGAGCAGTAAGGTTATGGGTGTTTTGTCTTTTGCTCTTCTCCGCTGTTTTTTAAAAATATGATTACTGCCTCGTAATAAAAATTGTAAGCAGTTTTGTATTTTTTTAAAAAAGAGAGAAAAACAATACATATTTTTAAATACATAAAAATAAACATTGCTGCTAGAGCCAATAATTTGCCCATATAACGATTCTTCTCACTGTAGTTTTCAGAAGCCATGGGAGAACAGGGGAAGATGATAATCCGTAGATACAAACAAGTCCTTGTTCCCCTTCTCACATAATCTTTCCTGTACACTTAAAGATACTCTTTTTTTAAAAAAACCAAATTGTGGTTGCTAGGCATATGGAGAAACATCTACGGAAGTAGATACAGTTGATAAAGAAACTGTTTTCTTCTCAGCCTTATAACAGAAACACTTCACTTTTACTATTACTTTGTAGTTAATCAACATGAGGAAATAAGGGCTGACAGCTGAATATCCTGAAGATAGAATTGTCAGGACAGGTGGTGCAAAGTATTTAAATTTAAAATTCTTCAGGCACCTAATTAGGATAAAATTAGAAATCCAAAGTGAAATAATAACTGGTATTAATAACAGAAGAAATTTACATGCTCTGAGAACCTCAGTTTCACTAGCATCACGCCCAACCCATATGCCTCCATATGCTGCTTTCTTATATTCGCAGAGGAGTTGTATTATTCGGAATCCAACAAGCAGCATAGTTAGAAGTGGAAGAAGATCAATAGCCACCAGAAATAATCTTCCATAGAAAAACTCTACTTGGTAATTTTTATATTCAGTCTTACATTTAGTATAGATGAAATTGCCCGTTGATTCATTTTTCATATACCCTTCATTTTTTCCTGTGTAAAGTGAAAAAGGGCAACAAAATGCAAAAGCGGCAATCCAAAGTATACCAACTATAAATAAGTGACACCTGCAACACTCTACAGTTGTTGTAGCTTCAGCTGGAGGATGCACCAGACGACACAATTTCAAACTGTAGAACACAACAATGTATAATGTGAACCATATGGCAAGAGAAGTAGTCAAGTTCGTGAAGAACACAAGAACTTTGCACCTATTTGAATCCAACGTGATGCCAGATGCATAAACAATCTTCAAGACATTCACCACCAGGTTATATAGAAGGTGGATAACCGCAAGGTTGACTATAAGTATTAATGGGATTCGTGATTTATCATGGAAGCATCTCTTTGTGAAGTAAATCAGCAATGGATTTCCAATCACACTGCATGCAATTAAAATAGAGCAGACAACAATCTCCAGTGTGCTAATGCAGGAGTCCATGTTTTCCATTCAGTAGGTCTGTCCAGAATGCTTCTGATCTTTATCGCTTTTCAGCTTCAAAAAGACTGGTAAAATTTCTTATCAAACTCATTTTTGCCCCCTTTGGTGAATTTTCAAAAAGCATACAGAGCCAAGGAACTTCACATACAATAGTCAGTCTCTTCGTAGAATGCAAAAATGAAAAACAAAACCAAGCCAATGTTTTTTAAGTGAATGTACTTAAGTGACCTTTCATCAGCATCACATGTGGTGCTGTCATTATGTATGCTCACAAGGGTATCCTTTAATGAAAGGTTACAGGAATATAGAAACAACTTGGAAGCCTGCTTCTCTAAAAATACTTCAGCCACACAAGTCTTTACCGAACAACACACCCTATAACTGAGAAGAAAGGAAGAAAATAAATGGAAAGATTGGGGTCAAGGGAACAGAAAAGGATGTGGTTTGCTGGCTGCCTAGAATATTAAACCATAGTATGCTATTCTACGTTTTCTTTCATCTTTCTTCCACTTGTAGTAATAAAATATGAAGGCCTGGGACTGCTAGAAGATGTACAGACTAGGGAGCAAAGAGGTAGAAGTAATATTTATTCTTTTCCCATGGATTTTATCAATGAAGTTTTCTTCTTGTAGGCTGAGATTTACATTTCATTGCAGGTTCATCTATATTGCTATAAAGTAGGGATAGGCATAATGTTGATCAAGGAGTTAATTGGAGGTCCATAAACCTTGGGGATGTGTGAATAGATTTCAGGAGGTCTGTGAATATGGCTAGGAAAAATAACTACAATTTTATTTCCTATAATCTCTAACTCAAATTTAGGTGGGTTTTTTTCATTGACTAATAGAAGCAAGAAAATAATTTGGGGCCTCTAGACTCCAAAAATGTTTCACTTCAATAAATCTCACTATCTGTCTTTATTATATCCTTAAAAGGGGTGTTGCCTTGTTTGTTGTTGATTTAATGGATTACCAAAGAAACTCATATTTCTATATTTCGATATTTTTATAACTGTATTTGAGCATAATTGGTTTCCTTTGAAATATAAGCTATATCTATGTATTTTATTTTATGCATTTAAATATGTTTTCTGAGATGGAATCCATAGCTTAAATGCATAAAATAAAATACATAGATATAGCTTAGCAGTTAATTATGGACTTCAGATTTAATCAAAGTCAAAATATATATTATCTCATAGTTTTCTGAAAATCATATTGTAATGATCATAGTATAAATGGCACTGGAATGTCGTGATTACTCTTTTCCAAACTCTATATTTGCCTTCCAAATATAATGGGACTGTTATTTGATAAGCCATGATTACAACATTTAAACCAGTCTAATAATTACAGACTCCTCTTGGCAAAATCTTTGATACTGTGATATTAGATACTAAAGCTACATTCGCACAATATTTTATCTGAGGGGTTTCCAATATTCAGGAAATTTTTGCAGAATACAGTAAGAATCATAAAGAGTCAACAGTGTTTTGACTATCTGTGCAATATTCTGAAATCTTCAATTCAGTTTAAAAACAATAATAAAGCTTTATCAAAAGATAAGAATGTGATAACAGTTAATTGATAACTTTAATAATATTATTTGTTTTATATAGAGAACTAGGTATATTTATCAATGCATTGCATTAGCTGAACTGAATTAGGCATATTCAGAGTTAATATACAGTTCTAAAAATTGTATTCTTTATAATAATTTTGTAGATAAGGCAAGGGGACTTAAACCCATTCTCCTTAACTTTCACAATAGTCCAAGTTGTGTGTGGGATGGATCTTTAGGAAAGGAGAAGACTAGAAACAAGTCTCTTTCTCTGTTCAAATAAAAGCTTGAAGTAATCATTCCAAGCCTTTTTATCATTTCCTGCAAATTGCCTTTTTATGTGCAAAACCATAATGTAGGTGATTCTTTGAGGAAGAGATGAAATATTTAAGACTCCATGAACTGACCGTGGACCTTGTTAGCAGAAGGTGGTGATTCTTTTCCTCCATATGCTATGAAGGACTCTGAGGATACAAAATTTCTTAAGATGGAAAAAGGCAGATATAATATGTTTAGGATTAAATTTTCAAAAATCTATGAGGTAGTTTTGTGCCTTATATGTGTTTGTGAACTCAATCAATTTATAATGAATGATTGTCCTTTGCCTGATAGACTAGAATTATTGTCCCTTGCTTATTGTCCTTTGCTTCAAATGGCATCTTCTTGTCAGCGGCAGAGACAAATGCATATATTCCTTGAACACGTCTTAAAATATTGAATCCATTAAAGCCAATAGAAATATATATTGCAGTTTTGGGCTGAAGCCTTGCTGTATCCAGTAACAACATATCATCTGCATTTTAATTAGAGAGGCCTTCATATAATTATATATTACAGGTGAAGGAGTCTTTCTCCTCTTTTATATATAAATAAAATTGTTCTAAAAAAGGCTCAAAACTGGGAAAAGACCTTCAATTAAGTAAAGTGCAGCTGAGCAGCAATCTAGATTTGGAAAGGAAAAGGTGATTTGAAGCAGACGTGGGCATACATGTTCCCTTTGTTTGTATCTCCTTAAATCAAAACATAGGAAAAAAGCCACTTCTTTAGGAGTTGCTGATGAGGCAACATGGGTGCCTCTACATACTCCAAATCATTTTTTTTTTCTTTTGGAATTCTGATTGCTGCACAGCCCTCATATACTATACATACATTGTTCTTATCCAATCTACACCAATATGAAAAGGCAAGAAATAATTTATTCCGGCTTAAACTAGAGTACCTAAATACAGTATATAATCAATTTCCCCCCAACTTGGTATTCTCTAGTTGCACTGGAAAAAAAAGCTATGTTGGGAATTCTCAGAATTATAGTCTCAGTGTTTAGAGGCACTCCTCAGGGAAGGTTGGTATAGCTCAGGGGTGAAATACAGCACGTACTTACAGGTTCTGGAGAACGGGTAGCAAAAATTTTGAGCAGTTCGGAGAACCCGTAGCGGAAATTTTGAGTAGTTCAGAGAACCGGCAAATACCACCTCTGGCTGGCCCCAAAGTATAAGTATAAATATAAGTATAATTTTATTTCTATACCGCCCTTCTCCCGAAGGACTCAGGGCGGTGTACAGCCTATTTAAAAACACAAGACAAACATCAATTAAAAATTTAAAATTATTAAAAAAATTCGGCTCAATTTAAAACCCCAGAAATTTAAAATACCCCAATTTAAAATTATTATGTTGATAGCACGGCCTGGCGGAACAACAGGGTCTTCAGTGCATAGCGAAATACCCGGAGGTCGGAGATCTTACGTATTTCAGGGGGCAGTTCATTCCACAGGGCTGGGGCTCCCACAGAGAAGGCCCTCCCCCTGGGAGTCGCCAGCCGACATAACTTGGCCGATGGCACCATGAGGAGATTCTCTCTGTGGGAGCAAACTGGCCGGTGGGAGGCTATTGGTGGCAGAAGTCGGTCTCAAAGATACCCAGGTCCTATGCCATGGAGAGCTTTAAAGATGGTGACCAACACCTTGAATCGCACCCAGAAGACCACTGGGAACCAGTGCAGCTCGCGCAGGAGGGGTGTCATGTGGGCATAATGAGTTGCGCCCATAACCACCAGCGCGGCCACATTCTGGACCAGTTGGAGCCTCCAAGTGCTCTTCAAGGGGAGCCCCATGTAGAGAGCATTACAATAGTCCAGCCGGGAGGTGACAAGGACGTGAGCGACCATGCGCAAGGCGTTCCGGTCCAGAAAGGGCTGCAACTGGCGAATCAGGTGGACCTGATAAAAGGCCCCCCTGGCCACGGCCATCATATGCTCTTCTAAAGACAGCCGTGCATCCAGGAGGACGCCCAGATTGCGAGCCCTCTCTGTGGGGGGCAAGGATTCACCCCCAATAGTCAGCGATGGCACCTGACTATATCAGGATGCCGGAAGTCACAGCCACTCGGTCTTGGAAGGGTTGAGTCTGAGCCTGTTCCTCCCCATCCAGACCCGCATGGCCTCCAGGCAGCGAGACATCACATCAAGGGCATCATTGGGGTGGTCTGGGGTGGAGATGTACAGCTGAGTATCATTAGCGTACAGATGACACTTCACCCCAAAACCACGGATGATCTCACCCAGTGGCTTCACATAAATGTTGAACAGAAGGGGCGAGAGGACCGACCCTTGCGGCACTCCCCATGCGAGGTGCCTCGAGGTTGACCTCTGCCCCCCTGCCAACACAAACTGCGAGCGGTCGGAGAGGAAGGAGGAGAACCACCGCAAAACGGTGCCCCCTATTCCTAACCCCCTCAACCATTGCAGCATGATACCATGGTTGATGGTATCAAAAGCCACTGAGAGATCTAATAGGACTAGGACAGAGGAGCAACCCCTGTCCCGAGCCCTCCAGAGATCATCCACCAACGCGACCAATGCCGTTTCTGTGCTGTATCCCTGCCTGAAGCCCGACTGGCACGGGTCCAGATAGATAGCTTCATCCAGGTGTAGGGGAAGCTGTCGTGCCACCATGCTCTCAACAACCTTCGCCACAAAACAAAGGTTGGAGACTGGACGGTAGTTGGCTAATTCAGCCGGGTCCAGGGAAGGCTTCTTGAGGAGGGGCCTCACTACCGCCTCTTTCAAGGTGGCAGGAAAGGCACCCCCACTCAGAGAAACACTTATAATTCCCTGGAGCCAGCCTCGTGTAACCTCCTGGGAGGCCAGTACCAACCAGAGGGACACGTGGCAGCACTAATCTTACCCAGAACCCTGTCCACATCCTTGGGAGCCACAGGATCAAACTCCTCCCAGATAATATTCTCAAGACCTACCCTCGTCTCCTCCCCTGGACTCATCCAATCGGAGTCCAAGCCATCCCGAATCCGAGCAACTTTATCATGCAGGAATTGCACAAAATCCTCAGCATGACCCTGCAAGGGATCTTCCCGCACTCCCCCCCCGAAGAAGGGAGTGGGTCACCCTAAACAGGGTGGCTGGGTGGTTCTCTGCAGATGCGATAAGAGCGGAAAAATAGTTAGATTTCGCTGCTTTTATCGCCACTAGGTAGGTCTTGATATAAGACCTCACCTGTGTCCGGTCGGAATCGGATTGACTAGTCCTCCAAATGCTCTCTAGGTGTCTTTTCTGACACTTCATCTCTCTCAGCTCCTCAGAGAACCAAGGAGCCAATTGAGAT